GAGGATATAAGAGCAGGGGAGATCATGTAATACAATAATTGGAGGAAAGGATGGGAACGCATATGCAAGTGCAAAATGAATCATTTCACTGTACTATTGGTTTAAACGGGCACATTCTAATTGGCGCTGTGAACATGTATTAAGACAGTAATTTACATCTATGAATATACATATATTTAAACACTTGACCAGTTATCATATTCTTGAAATTTCGCGACTTTCGCGAGACTTTTGTCACATTTGTAGCAATCTTTATTTTGTCCATGATTTTGGTATATTATTTTAATGTCAATAATTAAATAGTTTAAGAACAAATTTCATTCTTTTAATGTTTACATTGTCAGTTGTTTGCTGAAAAAAAATTTTGCAAGGTTATTTATCGCGTTATTAATAATATTATTAATTCCTATAGTATAATTGATGAATTAGCTCGAACAAATTACATTGAATACATTCATGGTTTTTAAATTCCTAGAAGGTTGTGGGTCTGCTGAAACATGAAATTAAGTTTGGCTATCTTTGCTTCATATCGGTGGTTTTTAATATTATTTCAACCCGCATGAATTTCCGGCTTCAATTTCATAGATTCTTTATGTTGGAGTTCGGTTTTAAAAAATAATTTCATTTTATCTACACCAACACTTATTTAAGCTAAATATAGAAATCGAACTCTTTAGCTTGCATTAAATAATTCTTTTTCCATTCTGTGTTTCATTTTGAAGGAATAATAATTCTTTTTGCGAGGGATTTCTCTCCTTTTTGTAATTGAAATGCAATTCAGAACAACAACGGTGAATCAACAAACGGTAAGATTAGATATGCGATTGCTTTATTAAAAAACAAGCTATCAAATAACTCCAATGGCTTTGATGTAATTCTCAGCAGAACCTTCATTATTAAATACCTAATTTTGTAAATATTATGCACTTAGCGAGAATATCGAATGGTCGGTAAAACTGAACAGACAAACAATTAAATTATCTTTAATTCCGAAAGAACAGATCTGTCATTGTTAAAATTTTCATGAATCAACACTACGTGCAAACAAATTTAACTTCTAATTCTTTAGTGTTCACATAAATTGGATTTTTCGGGACTGCATAGAGCGGTTGGATAAAATGGAATTTCAAAAAACTGTACAGACGCAAAATCATAACATTTATCACTATAAAAACTTCCAGTCATAATGTATAAAAAGGAATGTGAAAGGCAACCCATCATATTTTTAAAGAAGTAAATTTTTCTCCTTACTAATTTAGATGAGTAGAGCAATTTCACATATTATATATGCGATAGATCTAAACGCTCTTTTTTTTATTTCTTGTTTTTCATTTTTCTTAAAGTAATGAAATGTCGTTTATATTGGATAATTTTTTTCGCTCACCCCGAATACTAATTCAAATCGATACATATTGATTTTTCGTTGCCATATGAAAGAATGAAAATAACTTTTCAAATCATTTGTGTTCGTCATTGATTATTCGGCAATACTTTCTTTTTTTGAGTAATAATTATTCAAAATAATGAATTTCTAATAATATATTGGTTGGTTATCATCGTGATGATATTATTACAGGAAAATTTATGGAAAATATATTAAAAATGTATTAGAAAACACTGAAAAAGAATATTCGAAGGACCAATTAGTGCCAGGCAATCGCAGTCTACGTAGGATGGACATGAATGACACTTCCCGAGAAAATGATCAATATATTCACATTAGGTTTATTTGCCTGTCCATTTTGAATTATAAATAAATGTTAAAGAAATTCTACGAGTACCGGCTAATCAATTCGACACATATTAATATCGCACGAGTAATTGCTGAATTTGACGATTGTATGTATATGGGACAGAAATAAGTATATTTTGAAGTAAATGAATATATTTTTCGGATACTTTTTATTTAGCAAAGTTATTGCGTTTTCAAAAACTGAAAAAAAGTATTCCTTAAGTAGAGATATGAAGAAGTGAAAAGTGATGTGAATTGAGGACAAGTTGGTGATAATGGATCAGTGGAATGAATGAATGCATACAGAACACAATGCGATCAGCGTAGAGATTTTTTTCCTATGCGATGTTGAATTTCTTACGCTATGATTTGTTTTCGGAAGATATGTAAATTTTTATAAAAAGCTGAGACGATTTGAGGACGATCTCTAAAAAGCTGAGACGATGCTGAGACAAAAAAATAGATTGAAATCTATTTTTGTTTTAATGTTTATCTTTAGTAAACTGAGAATTCATTCATTCATGTACATTTTTTCATCTTATCACACCAGCCGATGATTAATTGTTTCCGTTTTAATATCTTCTAATTTGAACATACAAAGGGAAACAAACAACGGAGGGATATTATATCATGTTAATTTTAAGTGCAAAATTCGAATTTTTATCTTAATTGTACACTCAAACAAAATATCGTATATTTTGTAGTTTAGCCGCTTCAAAGCCAATAGTTGTTGTTCGCGGTAATAGATACCTACCGTATAGTTCCAATTGTTCCGCAGATTCTTCAAGAATTCCAAGCGCTTGTAACACTGGAAGCAACGGTGGTTTTCGTGAATGAATTGCAGATGGAGTGCTAGAAAAAATTACACACTGATCAAAAATAATAGAAAGTTACGACGTCAAATTAGGATATTTGTTAAGTAGAACCAATGATTGAAAGTCTTTAGTATAAGAACTTGATAATGGTAAACTCAAATTTTCATTTTGATAAATCTGTCGGAAAAATATTGGGATCCCGAGTATAAATCAATCAGTAAAACATATTCAGATTTGCACTTCTACTATTTATATACAGCTCGCCACAATCATGTATATTATAGTTTTCCAGCATAGGTGTTCAAGGCATGTAAATATATTAAAAGTGTTCAGGTATTTATAGCACGATTGTTAATGGAAATAGAATTTCACAAATAATAGTATATGACTTTCTAAATCACTTGTTCCTGAATCATTAGGGTTTGTTCTTCTTGCCATATTTGACAGTTCAAGCCAGTATCTTTGCTATCAACAAAAGTTTTTGTGAATATGTCTTTGCATGTTAATCATTGTTAGAAGTGAAATTTCTTGGATACTTATAAATATATGCCTGATTAAGACAAATTCATCGACGATCTTCATATAGTATTTCCGAGCAGCACCGTTGCAAGCGAATACAATATTTTCAAAAGGTTGCTTATGTTGGCTATCCAGGCTGTAAACGGGTTCGCCACCGCTTGTTACCTGAAAACTTGCAAAACGTACAAACTGTATTAAAATAATTACAAGTCCTCGTAAAAAAACCACTAAATATATTTGAATACATCAAAATATGCGTTCAATAATTCGTATTTTAAATTTGATTGTAGAGATAAAACTATCTTATTTATGACTCAAGTATTACTTAAGAAGAGAAGCGAATTTAAACTTGAAGTGAGAGAAAATTAACACCAAATCCACGCAAAATTCAATTCAGTTTGATAAAAATTGATTTGTGTAAGCAGCACATTTCAAGGCACGAAATATAAAAAGAAAAAATGACAATAAAATAACTTTAAGCCATCGCCAAGTTGCGATTTTTTCGAAACCAAAATATTCAATGATATCATCGATAAATTTAAGGTGCCTCGCATTGTTTGTAACCCATGTTGCGAACAATCCCATTTCCGTTAAAAGTTCCGGAACATGCAAATCCGACATCCACGTTTGGTCTCCGTAAGTTGGATAACTGCAATATCAGCATCAAAATTCTCATCAGAGCTTTTATTATTGAATGTTCTTTCTTAATTTTTAACTTCAAAATTTTGAGAACACATTAACTATTTCAAAAATATTTTAACTTACACAGTTTTTCTCTTAACAGATTTATTCTCCCAGGGCGGATCCAATAATATGAAATCAAACTGTTTCCCATCTGAAATGAATGCTTTATTTCTCAGTGAATTGTAGAATATTTGGGATCGATAAGTTTCGTTAGATTTTTTTTAAAAAAATTGATAATGTTATTAAAATACTACATCCAGGGAAAAGAGATAATTTTCATTTTTAGAAAGAAGCAAAAAATGATTTTGCAATAAGAGAAAACATTGATCAAAATTAAATAAATCATTCTTCCATATATAAACTAACATTTGATTAATGCCCCTGATACGCAAACATCGCTAATGATGAAGGAGGAGAATGGAGGTAGGATGAATG